ATCGAAATCTGGGGACGAAATGAATCGGCTAACATGTATATTATACTGCATGCAGTGGTCTGAATTTTTTTAAACAGGTGAGCAAAAAATGTTAATTTGGAAGCAAAGTTAAACAATAAAGTGTTAAATAAAGTACATATAAAACAAGTGCATTTGTGTGCAGTTAAGTGATGAGATACCTGTTAATTATGAATAGCTGTGCATGCAAATAGAAATATCTTAATGTTTAGATACATTAAAGAGATTATTAAAGTTAGTTTTAAACCCTCTGAATTCTAAAACTTTAAATTCATATCTACATACATGTATGTCTAACATTTTTTTCTGACCACACCAAATGCAATTCCTTTACAAGCATCCGTGGATATGACAATAATTAAAAACACTGAAAGTAAAATTTCACAGAACAAAAATTATAATTGAATTCCTTACATTATGATATTTACTTCATAATATAATTATTGAAAAGCTATGTATAGTTAAAATATTTGTAACTGTTGTTGACACATATTCAGGTCTAAGCATGTAAAGGAAAAATTCGACAGATACCCACAAAAAACCAGTGTTCCGGGGGGGGGGGGTGATCAACTTGTGTGAAAAATATTCAGTCTTGTAAATCTTATTGTAAATCTCCTTTGGAGGGGGCGTAGGTTCCAACTTCTTGAACCCCCTCCCACGAAATAGGTTTTTCACGTTCAGGAAGGAGATGGGGTGCCTGGTGCTTGTTTGAACATTTTCAGTAGTAAACAAATATTATTAGAAAATACAACATGTATGTGTAGAGAACACCCGGCCCCTTCCTGATGTTACGTGCTTGCAGACATTGGTGACTACATGAAACTACAATATACTGCAGTTGATCACTTAAATACAAGTACTCCTGAAGGAATTAGAGTATACGATAAGTTTTCCTTCAAGGTGGTGTTCCTTAAAGAACAAGATAGAGTAACGACCGAATCTGGTCCTTATTTGATGTAAAAATCAGAACGCTGGTACAATTGTTAGAGTTTGTAGTTAAAAAGTTAAAATGATGCTTACTTTAAAACAAGCACTAATTTAGATTCAAAGCTTACATGGAAGCCACTAGAGGGTGCAGAAGTAGGACATTTCCAGAATTTCCTCAATTCTGGTGGAATTCCATCATACTTGAGATACTTTTCTCTTCTGAAAACATAGAGCACAAGCTTGTCTATCTGAGATTTTTACACATAAACTACATCTAATACTAGTGTATAGGAAAGCTTGTGCTCCATGTTTTCCAAACAGAATGTGCCGTAAAATCGATGAACATTTGCATAAAAATGAGAAAATTCAAAAATTGACAGTAGTATTAGTAGAACCAATACTAATTTTGTGGCAGGGGTGACAACAGGTTTTTATGGATAAACTGTTGGATCATTCTGAAAGACACCCCAAATCGGGACCAAATAGGCTCTTACCCTATCCTGTCCTTTATCTTTTACATGTCCTAGGTTAATTCTGTTTCCTAGCCTACGCCTGCAAAATACATAAAGCGACATTCTGTAAGCATATCAGAAAATATGTACACGTATTGTTGAGTTGCATATAGTCTAAACGCACATTAGTAAAATTCAAGTGAGACGAAGCCCCTGCTTCTGTAACGTTCTGCATGTATTATTTGCAAGAAATGGCAGACTAATCCATGGTACCATACGCAATCAGAAGACATTTCAACAGTTGAGGAAATAGTAAATGGATATTGAAAAGGGAAATTTAATACAATCATGACCCAATAGAAGCCTACAACATCAACAATAGTATGAAAATGTCACGTGACCCTGTCCAACCAGTTGACAAACCACTACCTCCAACACCCAGAGAATATTTTGTTGAAAACCAACACCCAGAGAAAACGAAGAGAATATGACACCTAGATATTTTTTATTTTGATATGCCCGCTAAGTCCCATACAAAATCTGCTATACCTTCAGTCACCACTGGGCAGCTACCAGTCAAGGACTGGAGGTATATGTTTTTTTGGGGGTCACCACTGGGCAGCTACCAGGTGGAAAGAGGGAACGGTTAGACTTCGGTAACGATTTGTCAGGTACTCTAATTGGTGTTTACATCTTGTACGTTTTCTTAGAATCTTTTCTCTATGGAATCTAATAGAGTACAATGTGATTGATATAGAGTACAATGTGAAGCTTTTCAACATGTTCAATGAGATTTTAGATTATCTGTCATTTCTTCAAATTCGAACTCTTACCCCGGATATTAATAAGTAGCAACACTACTGGCTACTTCCAATGAGGGTTTAGTGAAAGTTTTCAGTCACCACTGGGCGCTCCAGGTGGACCGAAGAGGGAACAATGAGGGTTTAGTGAAAGTTTTCAAATTATTTGAAAGAATCTTTGGTTATTTGTTATTTTGATAGAGAGCTCAGACAGTTTGAGATCAGTCATTGAATGTAATGACTACAGACAACGCCGATTCTGGGTCATCATGGGAATCATCACACTCATCGCACTCATCACTGTAGCCGTGACACTGTCTCTCTATTTCATTGGTGAGTTACTCATTCTAAATAAGCAATCAACATAGATAATGGATCTTTTGAATGATGTTTCTAATGAATTTCAAGTCCGCACGTGTTTGGAATAAAAAGAAAATTGGTGCACCGTATACATGTGTTCTTATATTTAATCAGATACACTACTTAAGTGCATGGTTTAATAATTTTATCAATAACCCGACAATTTACCACATTATAAAATAAAACATTGATAATTCTTTTTAGACAAATCAAGGTTAAATGAACAGCTGCCTAAACGAGGTGACACTTTTCCCCGACGACTACTGATGTGCAGTCTACCATAGCAAGGGCAGACGAAGCACTATCACAAATTACCACAACAGCAATAAACGGGGGACAACAAGTGCCAACACAAGGGGCATCCACCAGTGTTTCCACACTTCAGGCTGTAGTCCGGGTCTGGTTTCAACAGATCCGAATGTAGCGGCTCCGGCTGTGGAATCATCCCTGTCCAGTTCAACTACGAAAAGAAGACATCGTCAGCATCATAACGACAAAGACCATATCTCCACAACAGTTCAGACTAGTTCTCTATCTACAGGTGAGTCTCATACTCAAAACAAAGCTGACACCAACTGTCACCAATATATATATATATATCACAGCAGTAAAGAATTGTTATGGTCTCAACTCTTCATACTAATGCAGTTTTCGAGAGGTGATTAGATGTCCAGTTGTTGCATCTCGCATTTGAACAAGTATATTTGGAATCCAAAACATCTTCTTTCTATATCATAAACCCTCAATCCTTGTAAGAAATACCATGTAATTTTAGCATACTGATAGTTCATGTCCACTGTCATTTAAGGTATCTCTACATTTATGCTTTTATTCATTATACCCCCGCTTGAAAAGTGGGAGGATTTATGGTGATCGGGATGTCCGTCCGTCCATCTGTTATGCTGTGGGGTACCGATCTCTTATCCGTAACTCCTCTTTTACCGCTGAATGAAATTTAATGAGACTTTTACGGAATCTTTGTTACACAATGTCATTGTGCACCTTCTATTTTACTGTTTGATTGGACACATACTTTGGGTTCCCTTGAGCAAAATGTGTGGACGACCATTCTTTATAATATTCAAAGGGTATCCATCTCTTATTCGCCATTCCTCCTATACCACTGAATAAAATTTAATGATACTTCACATATTAAATATTACATAATGTCATTGTTCACCTCTTACTCTATTGTTTGATCTGACACTTATTTTGGGTCTCCAGAGCAAATCATAAGCTCCCATTATAATCATAAGGAAGGCAGGTAATATTTAGTGAGCTCATGCTCACAGTACTTTTAGTTTTTTTTTTGTGTCTAGGGCTTAGGCAAATGCTGCATCCTATTTTAATTAACTTCTACATTCAATGGCTAATAAAGAGACCATAGCTCAAAGGGCAAAGTGTTTGATACATTTCTGAGTATATTTGGAATACTAGTATATAATGCACTTTCATAATAAATAAAACAATATTCAGAATATAAAGTTACTTTTTCTTAATTTTTGTTTGATTTTATGTTGAATATTCGAAGGGTAAAGTTTTTAGCTCCTATAGTATTTTACATGTACATGCATGTAGAATATTCGGAGGGTTATTTTTTTCAGCTCCTGTGGTATTTTACATGTATGTTGAATATTCGGAGGGTTAATTTTTCAGCTCCTGTGGTATTTTACATGTATGTTGAATACTCGGAGGGTTAATTTTTCAGCTCCTCTGGTATTTTACATGTGTGTTGAATATTCGGAGGGTTAATTTTTCAGTTCCTGTGGTAGTTTATATGTATGTTGAATATTCGGAGGGTTATTTTTTCAGCTATACTCGTACTTTACATGTATGTTGAGTATTGGGAGGGTTATTTTTTCAGCTCTTCTCGTATTTTACATATATCTTGAATATTCGAAGGGTTATTTTTTCAGCTCTTCTCGAATTTTTACATGTATGTTGAATATTCGGAGGGTTAATTTTTCAGCCCTTCTCGTATTTTACGTGTATGTTGAATATTCGGAGGGTTAATTTTTCAGCTCTTGTGGTGTTTCACATGTATGTTGAATATTCGGAGGGTTATTTTTTCAGCTATTCTCGTATTTTACATGTATGTTGAGTATTCGGAGGGTTAATTTTTCAGCTCTTCTCGTATTTTACATGTATGTTGAGTATTCGGAGGGTTAATTTTTCAGCTCTTCTCGTACTCTACATGTATGTTGAGTATTCGGAGGGTTAATTTTTCAGCTCTCTTTGTACATGTATTTTACATGTATGTTGAGTATTCGGAGGGTTATTTTTTAGCTCCTATGGTATTTTACATGTACGTTGAGTATTCGTAGGGTTATTTTTAGCTCCTGTGGTATTTTACATGTATGTTGAGTATTGGGAGGGTTATTTTTTCAGCTCCAGTGGTATTTTACATGTAAGTTGAATATTCGGAGGGTTATTTTTAGCTCCTATGGTATTTTCCGGATCCCTGATTCTCAATAGAACGTGGACAGCTGCACTGAGTGACGATACTACACCACAGTATAAGATCCTTTCAAGAGCCATTGAATATGAGGTATGCATTCATTTATATCTTAGTAAGTAACAAAACAGAGTTATTTTTGACGTGTTAAACTCAGTTACAATAGTCACGATATGGTAATTAATTTATCTCTTTTTTTAGTTGGACACTGCATTTCTGACCAGTCCGCTGAAGTCTCTATTTAACGAAAGCCAGGTGACGGAATTCAGGTATGATATGTACCTTTGCATTCTCTTTCTTTAAATGAAAATTCTCTCTCATTTCAAAGGAAGATATCCACAAATTAGTAAAAAAAAATTAGCGCCATCTAAACGTCTTCTCACTAACATTTTGGCAAGAAATGAAAAAAGTACGATTCATCAAATAGTGTAAATGTACAAATCATGAATGCAAACTAAGGGTTGGAGCAAACAGTATAGTTGAAACTTTTAAATGTGTAACAAAAAATAAGAATATACACAGATTCGCAAATCAATTTAGATTACTGCCAGTACTCACAGTACTAGTTTCAACAATTTAAGAAAAGGATCAAAGATGACTCTAATAGTGGCATCCTATAAAATTGAATTTTGCTACAATAGATTTTGAAATGTGAAGGAAAATCTTTAAAATTTTGGGAATTAATCAGAACGTTTGAGGGCATAAAGTTGACTGATTAGTATGAAGATACTCATATTTATATTTAGAAAGGTCTTATCACAAGTAATATACATGTGATTCAAAAGTTACTCAGTATGAACAAGATTAAAGTCATATAGATAACATATTTTGATAAGTTTAGACTATATTAATTTAAAAAGATCTGACAGTTATTCCTTAAATATATATGAACCTCCCAAGCTTTCTTGCATCAGTTTCTTTTTATACACATCTTTTACCTCGCCAAATTCCTTCTTAAAGTTATATATGATGTGTTTTTGATTAAGTTCAGGCTATAATTGAAGAGATTTTTCTAATATTTAATTTTTTACTTAATATAAAGATAGGTCTTTCCTGTAAATTACACAATTTAATTCAATCACGTTTCATAGATATCCGAGATTAAAATAATTTAACCGATTTATTTACCGACTCAGAATTTAAATATCAGACACAGTTTAAAGTAATTTTACTATAGAAACGTGGGGGATATACAAGTTAAAAATCGGTAAAAGATTTAATTTGAACGTAAAAAGCGAAAATCATGTAAATTTTCATAATCTCGTTTTTTTTTTTTTTTTTTTTTTTTAGCTCAGATACGCGATATGTAACCTACACTATATATAATGTTTTTGTTACAAACGGACAGACTGACAGATTGACACACTAATGAAATTAATACCAAAGTTTCAATATTTTCAATTTAAAATGCATATGCAAGAAATTTCGTAAAGTATGACCTTAAATTTTATGTTTGTTTTGAATAAAATTGAAGTAAAATGATTATAAAATTCAAAATTTAATATCTAAAAAAAAATTAATCTCAGAAATCACTGTTGTCGATTCATCTCTCTCAATTTAAACAAGGCTTTCAATAATCTCTTTTGACAGTTCTGGTAGTGTCAGAGTGTTCTTCAAGATCGTGTTCCGCGTCACTGTAATGCTTGACGGACAGGTGGATACGTCAAGTGTGAACGTCACTGACGTCAGGCAGACGATAGAGGACGAGGCAAGGAGGCAGCAGACTACACGAACCAATGGCTACCTCAGTACAGTTATGGCAGGAAGCATATCGGTCAAACTAGCTAATGGTAAACGTAGTGTAAAAAGAGACATTTTTACATTAAAAGACACTTTTCAATGCAAAGACATTACTGTGATAATAAACTAGTGAAATTTTGTTTTGAGTGTTTTGATTTAAACTCTAGTAACATTTTTTTCAAAACCATAGTAATTTTTTTTTGTATTTAGTGTTGAATTCGGTTTTCTAAACACCAAAGATTAAAGTATTCAAAAAGTTTATTCAAGTCGGATATTTGTTTCCATATGAAATTAAACGTGTTGTAATTACGCATATTTTGTTTTTCATTTCGTAAATGTTATAAATATATGTATTATTAGTTACTGTTTAGACAAAAATGTTACAGAGTATAATCAATCAAAACACTCTTATTAAGATGGTGCAATGGAAACAAATTATTTCGACATTTGTTACAACAGGCACGTAGTATCGGAAGGCCCTGTCTCCTTTTTCTGTTTATGAAATTCTGGATTGTAGCTTGTTCTGGGGCCCCCGGTATAGTCAGGTCAGGGTAATGTGGTACCTAATGTGTGGGGGGAAATCTGGATTGTTTTAGAAGTTAGAATCTACACCAAGTCCCCCATGGATTTTTGAGATTGGAAGATTTTGCTTGCTTGCTTATTTGTTTGTTTGTTCTTTTTTTTTCATGCTTGCCAAAGTATTTTTTTCCAGTTTAGTTGATTTTTTTTCTCTGGCTGGAACCCCGCTTTCAAAATAGATATTACGTGCCTGTAAAAACAAGAAAATTTAAACAAAGTTTAAAAACCGAATCTGGCACATTTTTTCAAACGATTGGTCGAAAATATATCAGAATAGTGATTTCTTATAAAAACGTTTTGGAAAAAAAAATGCCACTGAAACATGAAAAATCCTTCAAAAATCAATTTTTTGCAAGCTTCATCAATTTCATAACTTAGAAATATCCAAGTCGTGAAGAGAAAACCTGATAGTGGACTAAATCCTTGATTTATACTCGTGACTGCTTTTTAACAACAAAAGTTCAAAGATTGTTGTGCAGTATCGGATTTTTATTTAACAAGACATCATATACTCAGTAACTCTGGAAATGGTACATAGTTATCTGTTTATAAATCTTAATTTACTGGCATGAAACATTATCATCCAGAGGCGTTTAATATGTGTATCTTACGATGAAATACTTGAATGAATTGAAATGTTATACGATCCAAAAAGGTTCGTCTATTAGTTTACAATCTATCAAATTATTATAAAATTTTCGTTTATAAACTGATACATTAAAAAATTACTGAGTATCTACAGATTAATTGAGATGTATATCAGCCGTAGGGAAATGATATACCTCTCGCCAGACTGTTAGATTTAATACGGGACTGCCAAAAGAAGAATCTCTTAAGGACAGACGAGACGTTCCTCAGTAATATATAATTTTTTCCAAGACTTTGTCATCGAATAAATACAACTTTAACATGTTTACTCACAAAATATTGAAGTACCTTACCGGGCATATGTGCGAGATACCAGATGATGGCATTTCTTAAATAATCCTTTAGGGAAAAAAATAAAGTTTGCAAAATCACATTTTTAGTGTTTCAAATTTTTTAAAACAATTAGAAACAGGTTTAGAAATCAGAAAGTAATTAAAATTTTGTATATTTTTCATACATTATGAAGATATACAAAACAGAAATTTGGGGAACGTATCGTCTGACCTTAAATCATACAGTTCCTCGATACGTTACGCTGAAATTCTTTTTAACATGATCAAAAATAGCTTAAATAGAAGTACATGTAAATTTCATTTTCAATATACAATATCACCAGAGCTGAGTTTTTTAAATTTTCATTATTTGTATGTTTTGATATCTTTTAGCGGTTTCCGTGCGTGTGCTTTGCATAGAACTAGTAATCATTGTAAAAGACTAATAACTACTTCGCTTTAAGACAGATTATTGTTTTATTTGAATGAACATGTATGGATGGAATTCTGTTTAACAATAGCCCCAGTCGTATTAATGGGAGACCTTTTTCTGAATGAGGCTTGGAATGATTCCCTAAATGACCCAACATCGCCAATATCTCGGAAGCTGACAGCTCAGCTTAAGGCAGAGGTAAAATCTACCCATCTTCATTCTATAAATGTTTACGAGAGAAATTAACAAGCAACAACTTATTTACTATATTCAAAACTACATGTACATATACATATTCCAGTTATTAAATGGACTAGTCATATGACAAAAATGTGTACATGTCTCACGGATTTCACTCATCGAATTTAATTTCAGTTACAAGCCACCTTACTAAAGTTGACAGAAAACGACTTTCTCGATGTAGAGATTTTGGGATTCAGGTATAAATGAATTTTTTTAAAAAATCAAAATTTGTTAGTGAAAATTGAAACATTAAGATATTTTTTAAAATTTTTCTTAGGCCGGGTAGCATAGAGGTTGTATTCAGAATTGTGATGACAATTAATTCCACACAAAATCAGTCGCAAATCGATGTATCAACAATTATTCAAGCAATCCAAAACGAGGCAAACCGCCAATTGCAACAAGCGGTGTCTGGTCTTCTTCAGAAACTTATAACGCTGACTGTGGACAACCAAACTTTGGGTATATAAAGTTATTCAGTTGAATCAATATATATTTTGTTTTCCCTTTTTTTTTAGCAATCATACTGTTGTTCCTATTGATATTTTCCAGCCAATGCAACATCATCATCAGTCACATCAATTACTCCCACTGTAGCAGCAACAAATCTAGCAACCACTACCGACTTTGCAACAGCTAGTACTTCTTCTACACAGTCAACAGGAACAAAAGAGGTAGCAACTACCTTTGAACCAACAACTACTATCGAAGCAAGTGCAACAATGACTACTCAACAAACAACGTCCTTTAATGCAGAAACTACTACTGTGCCAGTAAAAAGTACCTCAAAACCAACAATTTCGACAGAATCAATCAAAACAACTTTTCAACTAGAAATATCTTCTTTTAAACTAGAAACTTCCACAGATCTAATCACGGCTACTACTGTACCGGTTTCAAGCTCCTCAAAACCGTCTGTTTGACTTGAATCAATCACAACTTTTCAACCAGCAACAACATCTCTCAAACTAGAAACTTCCTCTGTGGTAATAACAACCACCACTGTTTCGTAACAAGTTCTTTTAAACCAAACATTTCTACAAAATTGATCACAACTACTACTCAGCTAGCAAGCACAGTCACTACACAATCATCAGCATCTACTTTGGAAGCAACAGCTAGTTCTAAATCAGCAACAACTGTGATTGAACCAACCGAAGCAACTATTCAACCAGGAACAACTTCTTTCCAACCAAAGACTTCTTTTTCTGAAGCAATCATTTCTAGTACCCAACCAGCATCAATTACTTCGACACCAACAATAATTTACAGTAAATCAATTGCAACAACTCTTCAACAAGCAACAACTTCATTAAAACCAACGACATTCAGTGAAGTAAACACAATTAGCAGTCAATCAGCAACAACCTCCTTTAAACAAGAAAGTATGACTGAAGCAACCAAAACTACTATTCAACCAGCAACAACTACCATGGAAGCTATAAAAGTTCAAAACCAGCAGCAACTTTAATTGAATCAATCATAATGATTACTCAACAACAGAAAGTACTTCTTATCCAACAACTTTGAATGTAACAATCACAACTACAACCCATCTTTCAATCACACCCACTATTCAACCTGCAACTACTAGAGAGGCAATAATCTCCTTTAAATCAGCAACAACTTCCACTGAATTATCAGAACCGTCAACATTTTCTGAACCAAAAACTTCTTTTTAAGTAATCGAAA